ATGGTTCCTGGACCAACAGTAGTGCTTTTTGTTTCACATACAAAATTTTTAACAGTTTTACTATTGCAGTTGATAGCAAATTTTACAACTGAATTGTGTAGCACGACCTCCTTTTTTTGGTTGCATATTTTCGCATTTATTTAACCTTGTGGCAACTTGCGGTTGCATTGGTTTGACTGTTTTAATTATTTGCCTGGCTGCATTTCGTTGTATAGAGTGCGCTATTTGCTTTTAATTTTGTTTTTTTTTTCAATATAGATATACTTTTGTGGTATCTATTGCAGCCATGTTGTCCTCCTGTCAGCCGATAAAAAATCGGCCACATTTTCTCAATTACAACGGTATTTTACGGCGTATTAATTGCACTTTTGCATTGCATTTTGTTTTCCCCATATTCAGCTTTGGTTATAACAAATAACTATTGCAAGCCAAACAATTTATATAAGCAACACACCCACACCACATTTTTCGTTATATTTTTTTTCTGGAAAATCCAGTAAAGGAATTAATTCAGACATTAATTTGGGAGAGCAGATGGTGGCAAAATTGATCGAAAAAAATAATTAATGAAAAGTTCATTCTTACCAAAGCTTGGTAAAGGTTTGACGGGATAAGGCAGTGAATGTTTATACATTTCAAATCGAAAGTGAGAGAGAACTCGGCGCTTTGAATGAACTGATGCTGCTGGGGAGCCATCCGTTACTGCCACATTAGTAAGTCTATTTAAGCAGGCAGAAGACTGCTGTGTAGTCTACCAGACAAGGCATGCATAGAAATACACAACGAGAGATGTTAGTTTTAAGAGTTACCTAGAACGTCTCCGGTCTACACGTGGCTAGAAGGATTTCTTGCGCTCGCTGAGCTGCCTAAACATCCATCTGTCCAGAAGCATACCATACGAGGTAAGGAGAGCTCCCACACCTTCCTAATCCGGAAGTAATTCCTCGAGGGTTCCCTGTCTTGCCAGCTCATCGACCATGGAGTTTCCAGCGATCTCGCTGTGACCTGGTCGACAAGGAAGTGGAACCATCCTTCAACGTTCTCCAACGCACACTTCAGGAGCCAAGAGCTTTGTTAGCTGCTTGACTCTTGGAATAAATATTCATGTTCTTTAAACGTGATACACTAGAGAGAAATCTAGCCGAAGCCTCTTTTATCGTAGCCCCCTCTGCCTGCAAGAGCTCCTGTGATCCGGTAGCCTAAATTTCAGGCTGGCGGAGAGTTCTTCGCAGAAGACACCTCCACCAACCTTCCCATTCAGCTTCAGTCAATCTGTAAATCAGTTGACAGGATCACCCCTCCCGGTCCTCTCTCGCTGAAATGTGGGTGGTGAATGATCCATTCGGACTCAGATCCGGCGTGCAGTGGTCTGTTCGAGTCGGTAGGAACCCGAAGTCTTTTAGAATACTGGAGTGCCCATAGCTCGAGGCTAACTTAAAGCACACTCTACTTAGCCTTACTGCGGCGCGCGCAGTGGCAACCCTGTCAGATGTATATCTATAGGCATAACATTTAACATGTCATTGGGTGCCAGAGTAGATGTGGTTCGAAGCGCCCCACTGATTCCAATTAAGACGGCTCTTTGCACCCCCTCCAGATGAGTTCCATATATAATAAACCTGGCTTGATTATAGTTTCATAATGCCAATGAACTACCTTCAACAATACAAGGATACTGTATCCTTCTTGACATTTCCTCTGAGACGAAAACGACCCAAACCAGCGGTAAGACAATTCGCGTTTCGGGGTATCTCTAGTCATACATCTCCGGATTGAAGCGCTGCCACAATCTGCCGCTATAGTTCTTTTGCAAAGCAAGCGGTGACAAGGTCGGCTCCGACCTCTAGCTTTATTAGTGAGTTAGGCATGCTTATCCAAGGAAAGACGATGCCTGAGGATCCCGCTTCTTAAGTGCGGATCGATCAGCGTTTCAGCGTCTTCAAAAGAAACGAGCAGAGACTTATAGGCCTGAAGTCCCTAGATGAACACAACTCTGACCACTTTCCAAGGCCCCGGAACATGACCCCTAGCCAAACATCTCTCGAATATAGGCATCAACCAGCCGCACATAGGTGATTCTCCTTCTATAATCAATGATAAAGCTATCATTAGCGTCCTGCGTCGCTAGCCAACAAAAAAAACTAGCCACAGAAATAGAAAAAAATGTGATTATGATACTTTCGGCTTTTAGCTACATATGTATATATTTGCACTGGATTCACCAACAGCGGATGGCCGAATCAACAATACAAATAAATAATACAAACATTAGTGCCTGCAAGTAAGCGGAAACTCATTTCTTCCATTCAAATGTTTGTTGATTTACCTGATTCATGACGGCTGCTGTTGCTAATACAGCCAGCTGTTAAGCGAATTAGTACACATTCGTTATTAGCTATGTATAGCATTTTGTCTTTCCTTTGCTCCAATGAGCCGATTAATGGTGAATATGCATGCGATTGTCGAAGGTCTTTCGCTTACAACATTTCAATTGACGTCAACTTCCTTTGGTAGGGTAAAACGATTGGATTGCGCGAATTGCCAAAGATTCAATTTCAAGGTGAACTGTATTAATCTTCTGCGATTGGACACAGTTAAATGCTCGCAGTGCTGAAATTTTTAATTAACGGTGTCAGTTTTGTATAAAGCTTACTACCACAANCACTTTCGTCTCTTTCTAATATACTTAGCAGGTGTAAGTTAAAATATGGCAACTAGCCTTGACTAGATGGTCCGATGCGGGATTCAAGAAAACGATCCATGATACACTATTTGGGCAGCAGTCGCCCATTCTTGACGATTATTTAGTCGCTTGGTTGCAGTGGCAGTTTTTGTTCGTATTACTTTGCAAATATGCAATCAATCGGAAGACGATTTCTTAACATTCTTTGTGTCTGAATAAACGCCATAAACATAGTCGAACCGTAGTGTCTACGATGAACAAATTTATCGGTGTAACAATCATCAACTCGTCAGAATCTAAAAACAGGCGGAAATCTAAGGCAATATTTAATGCGTCACGGTTTTTCTCGCGTGAGCGTGAGCGGCTTACGTAACTTACGTGATCGTGCGTGAACGTGAACGAAAATCACGCGCCCATCTCTAGAATGCTTTTCACTATCTCTTCCACTCATAATTATAACTACCGTTATCAGTAGTAGACTTCGTAGTAGGCATTTAAAACAGCTGAGACATTACGATTTTGTAAAACTTTGTTTGCTTAACCCACTTACATATGTATGAATGTTGCTTAACAAATTTTTGCACATTAAAGAATACTCTTCGAGCTACCGAGCCACAGTTAAAATTAACAGCCATTTAATTTCAAGATTTGATTAGAATCTTTCAGTGAAAGCTGCGCTGATCTCACAACAAAAATATTTATTTGTTTTTAATTAACAGCAAGCAATGCATTTATCGCAAAAAAGACAATGCCAATGTGAAGAACAACAAACAAACAAATACTTAAAACAATTACAACAATGTATTGCCATTTAAAAGATATTTGCTTGAGCGCATGCGCCTTTGTGCTTAAGCGTTTATGGTATTTTGTATTCGCTTTTCTAAGTTTCCGTTCAAGTCTTTGTTTCTGCTGCTGCTGCTGCTACCGCAGCTCAACTTTTCAAATGCAAATGAGGCTACGCGTCGGCGCAAATGACAAACAGCAACTGTTTCTGACATAATTTTATTTTTCATTGTCAGCGACATTGAGCGCGTCCGGCCGCTGTGCTTTACAGTTATGGCATTTATTCAATCACACACAAGTCATTTGCTTTTGTTTTTTATTTATACATTTTTTGTAATTTTCTCCCGTCGTTTATATTTTAATGCAAATTTCTGTATTATTTTGCGTCGAAAAATCACAAAAAGAATGATTGTCTTAAACTTCGTTCTAATTAGAACCCGAACACTTGCTTGTGCCAGTTCTGAGCAGCACAGAATTTGCTTTGCGGATTAGCGGTAATTGAGTGGCAGCATGAACGTCTAGTGGGAACACCACCGACAACCAAAGCGCAACAACTTACTCAACTGTCAGTGGATGCTTAGCGCTGAGTTGTGATGTGAAGTGAGAAGAACATCAGGGAAGAAGCGAACGGAATAGAAAGCGCTGAAGTTCCCACTTGGCTGTTGAAGAACATAAACATTGCCTCAAGTCTTGTTTTAACAAATTTCACTGTTGTAGTTGTTATTGTTATCGCTATTGTTTTGATTTGACTTGGTGACTCGGCTGTTTCCGTAAGCCATAAGTACATAAGCAGCTTAATTATGTGAAATCGTTTGACGCACCGAGACTTCACATGCAGTACTGCAACGGCCAGCTGTCACTCGAGTAATTTCACACATGCAGCTTAGTTGCGAGTACACATACTTAAACTCGCATAGTTTTACACATATTCAGCAAACAACGCCATCTAATAATTTTTTTTCTTTCTCTTTCGCAGACCAACTGGCAACTTGCGCAGCGACTTGCCCGTCGGCGTCTTCAGCCCGCAACCATCAAACTCTCAACTCCACGGCTCGCCCAGCGCAGCAGCTTTGCCTAACCAAAGTCAAATGAGTGCAATGCCTACATCGCCTTCGACCGGCACCACAATGACCGCCAACTCAACGCCGCTCAATGCGCCAAATGGTTTGAGTTCCTCCAGTGGACGCATACAAAGCCCTGCGGTTGCCACGCCAGCGCAGCGCATTTCCAAGGAAGTGGCCCAGCGTTTGAATGGAGGCGTTGCTGTTGCCAGTAGCGCACCTATCGTAATTGTGGGTTCTCCAACAACACATCATAATAACGCGCCCAATACTTCGATTAATATAAGAAATATCAGGAGTCCACCAGCAGCGCCGACTAAGCCGTCGCCACATCGCTCCATGGCAGCGCCTGCGCGACTCACTGTGCAAAGCACACCAGTCAAGTCGCAGCCGCCTATGTTGAGCGGTAATTTGCCATCGCAGCAGCCGCAACTACCACAGCCGGTGACAGCGCAACAGAAGTCAGCAAGCGCGAGCGATAAACGCCCGCTACCGCTATCCTCTTTGGACTTGAGCAACTGCAGTATTGGCATACCGACGGCAGAGTCAACCCCAGCACATGGCGCAACTAGTGGCGGTGGCTATCAGCTCGGTGCGCATGCAAAATCAACGAACACGACGACCAGCACACGCACACATCACCACGAATTCCGCGCGCTTCAGCGCGTGCAGGAGTGTCATAGCTCGTCGGATGAGAATCGATCATCGGGGCATGCCAGCATGTCCGATACAGGTGGCCATGGCAGTTCCTCGCCCGGCGGTGGTGTAGCGCTTGGTCCACTACCAGAAGATCGTCTCGCCGCTGGCGTCACCAATCGCAGCACGCGCTCGCGCACAAGCACCAATCATTCGCGCGCGCGTCATCGCGCTATACCCGCCTCCAAAGCACCATGGAGTGGTAGCGGACTGGAGGACATCAAATTGGCCATACAACAACTAACAATGCGCTCGCAGACGAGTACGAGCACGTACAGCAGCCTCAGCGCAGGATCAGAGAGTTCGGAACCCGCACGCCGCTTAGGTCGCTACTCTTCGCTGGAGACCGTAAACACAAATGTGACCAGTGCTGACGAGTTTGTATGGGTGGACTCACATAATCGCCTTGTGGAATTGCAGAATCCGCCCTGGAGTCAGCACTGCATTATGCGCGTTGTACGAAATGGCCGTTGCAAAGAGCAGGCGGAGCGTGTATCAGTCGAAACCATACCGCGCCTGGGTTATCTGCTGCAACGCGCGTTGGTGCGTATAGCGCGCGAAGTGCAACGCCTCTCAGCCAGCCTGGGACTGTGCTCCAAACAAGAGGTGGCAGCAGCTTACAAAATCGTTCTATGTCCGGCATTGGCAGACTCTTGCATCAAGGCGTGCTTGCGCGCAGCAGCGATGTTCGCTGTTACGGGCGACAGCGCGTTAAAGCAAAGCAAATCAGCGCGTGCTGGACTACAGTTACCCGTGGGACGCTTTCATCGTTGGATGGCCGACGCGCGACTCGGCAAGTTTATACATGAATACGGGGCGGTGTATCTCTGCGCTGGCATGGAAAATTTGCTTGAGGAGCTACTTCTGCAAAGTTTTCCCGTGGATAATTCAAACCAACTAACAACGACCGTGTTGGACCAATCTATTGCACATTCCGGTGATCTGTGGGGTCTACTGCAGCCATTCGCGCACCTGAATGCAGGGCGAGTGGCTTCCGGTGCACTTACAATGCCACGTTGGGCCAGCCTGTCATCCCTCGGCTCGGGTACCCAGAAGAGTGGAAGTTCTGGCGCCAACAGCAATGTGTCCCTGGAGCCCTGCCTGCTCACGACCTGCGTTGGCAGCATAAGCGAACTAAAAGACTTGACGCTGCGCGCTCAACAGAAGTTTCAGCACACCGCGCTTTCCAATGCTGCGCTCTCTGCGCTGTTCTACTTCATGCGTTGCTCGCAACTAGAGCACAGCGATCTGAGCGGTGCACCATCGAGTGTCAGTGGTAGCGCTGGCGGCAGCAGCCAAAACGTACAGGAGCTTTGCTACGAACGCGCATATGTTGTGCTACCCCCATTGGTTGAATGGCTGCGTGTTGCCTCAGCGCACGCAGAATACCGTCACGCGGTTATGATCGATAGGGATGATATCATGCAGGCGGCGCGCTTGCTTTTGCCTGGCGTTGATTGCCCCCTGAGGTCGATCGCTCACGACGAAGAGCTACCTACAAAGAAGACACACTTTTCACATCCTGGCGCTACTACACCCATTGCGTCGAGCATCAGCGAAGACACCACGGAGTTGGGCAAGCGCGCTACCATCACTCTGGCTTTTAAGCTCATGCTTACCGGGCGCGCGGAATTATTGGCTCAAGCAGCCAACTTGCTGCCGCCCACGACGCGTTATGATACGTTGAACCACGCTGGACTCACGGCGCTTATGATCGCTGCTATACGCAATGACGAGGTGGTCATACAATCGCTGCTTGATGCCGGCTGCGATCCAAATGTGGAGGTGCCACCAGTTGTGCAGACGAACTATCCAGGCATACATCCAGACACACAGCACTGGACAGCAGTGACATTCGCCGCGAGTCGCGCCAATTACCTAGCATTGCGTTTGCTGCTCGAGAGAGGCGGCAAAGTGGAAGGTGGGGCGCGCTTAAGCGAGGAGAAGCCAACGTTAACACCGCTGCAAGTAGCCTGCGGCTCTGGTAATGTTGAAATAATTTCACTGCTGCTGGCGCATGGCGCGAACGCTTTTCTCTCTACACAACAAAAGGACACAATGTGTTTCGCCGGCGGTTCGGCGCAGCGTGGCTCTTATTGTGCTATCTCTGTAGCAGCCGCGCATGGACAACGCGCTTGCTTGCGAAAGCTGCTCTCTCATCCAATGTCACCAGGGATCAAAGATGTACTTTCGCTCGAAGAAATGCTTGCCGAAGGAGAACCAGTCGGTAACGCCACGCGTGGTGGGGGAGCCGCCGGTGCTGGAAATGCGACCGGTGAACGCATAAGCGCTGATCTACCACTAACACTAAATAAGACGCAAATCAAGAGCCTGCAAGAGGCTATGTACCACAGCGCCGAGAACAATCATTTAGGTAAGTAGATATATATTTTACTCAATATGTGAGATCGGCTAACCAAACAACTTTCCATGCCAGATATAACAATAGAACTGCGCACCCTAGGCGTACCCTGGACGCTGCATTGCTGGATGCACGCCTTGGCGGCTGCGCATGAGCTGCGCTTGGATGCGGTGATCGACCAACTACTACAAGACTTCCTACAGGTATGTCCAGACGACTACAGCGCGCAGTTTGTGAGCGAGTGCCTGCCGCTGCTCTTCAATATCTTCCGCTACAGTAAGAACGAGGGCACAACCCTTCTGCTGGCCGACATCTTCGCCACCTGCTTCGGCTGGGAGACTATCAAACCCATAAAAGAGCCTGCGCTGCAGTCGGTGAACAGCTCACGTATCGACCCGAAATTTGTCAACAATCCAGAGTTGAGCGATGTGACTTTCAGGTGAGAAAAAAAAACAAGCGAATTTAGAAAACGAATGCACGCCTAATAATTTTCGTTTGTTTTCAGAGTGGAGGGCAAAATTTTCTATGGTCACAAGATAGTGCTGGTAACCGCCTCGCCGCGTTTCCAGAGCATGCTCAGCTCCAAGCTGAGTGAGGGAAACACGCCCACGGTGCAAATCAATGACATACGCTACCACATATTCCAGTTGGTCATGCATTATCTGTACAGCGGTGGCTGTGCCACACTGGAGGTCAGCAACGCTGACGTTTTGGAGCTGATGGCAGCGGCGAGCTTCTTTCAGCTGGAGGGCCTCCTGCGCTACACCGAGTCACGCTGCTCTGAGATGATCGACATCGACAATGTGGTGGCCATGTACATACATGCGAAGGTAGGAGTGTAAATATATTTATCTAAGCTGAGTTAAAATTTTACTTAACATTTGCTGTCGTAGGTTTACAACGCCAGCAAACTACTCGAGTACTGCCAGGGCTTCTTGTTGCAGAATATGGTCGCTCTTCTCACCTATGACGATTCGGTAAAGCGTTTGCTCTTCGCCAAAAAGATACCCAATCACGATGTGCTCTCAGGTCTGCTGCACACGCTACAACAACGCATCAAGCAACGCAAGCCTGTAGGTGTGGGCAATTTCCGTCAACAGCTAAGCTCGCCACCACCCAGCAGTGGAGGCGCACATTTGTTGAGCAGCAGTATGGGCAACAGTGGCGGGGGTGGAAGTCTGGGCGCTGCTAAGAAGTAAAATTTGAAAAATGTAAAATATCGACATTTAAAGGCTTACAAATATTTAAAGAAGTAAAAATATGTAGATTTAGTATTTTTGAAAAAAAAAAAACTGAAAAGTGNCGCATTGGGAATGTAAAATATCGACATTTAAAGGCTTACAAATATTTAAAGAAGTAAAAATATGTAGATTTAGTATTTTTGAAAAAAAAAAAACTGAAAAGTGAAAAATTAACTATATGCGGCGTAGTTACAGTTATACTTATATGAATATGGTATATATATATAAGTTTCATTATTTTTTGTAAGCGGATTTCAAAATTTTCGAAAAAAAAAGTTTGTTCTTCCACGAATACAATTCACCCCATCCGAAAAGCGATAACTAAAAAACACTATTTGCTTTCGATGCACAACGAATACTAACATCTTTGAGTCTAAATTGTATTTATAAACAATTATGTTAACTGCTCAAAGCAATATATTCGTAAGCTTTTTATAGTCTTTAGTACTTGCGAAATTTTCAAATAGCCACCATCATTCCATGTACGAAGCTTTTGTTTGTAGTTTATAGCGAAATTTAGAAGCAATCTTGTATGTATGTATATTTAGTTTAATCCCAGTTTTATACTTTAAATAAATAAATTAAAGATATCAACAAAATTGTCTACTTCCTCACTGGATATGCTGTGAATGCCGAATGAAGCAATACACTCTTTCCTATCGATCCACGTGAGCCTTGTTCAGACATAACTAAAGCCAGGGAAACCAATTAGAAAAGGGTAGTCTTCGTTTCCTTTACCCAGTAGTAAGGTAAGCATCATAATACTTCCGCAAAGTGCACGGCACCATCACAGCACTTAACGATATCGATACAGTGAAACCCGCTTAAGTAAACAAATTGGACATAAATAAGCGAGACGACAATTGTCCATATATATTTTAACATAAACTACAATTTGTAGACAATGAAATAAGCGCTGAGTTAACAATAAAAACTAAGTTAGCGCGAATACAAAAATGCTGTTGCTTGGTTGACCGCTAAATGTCGATTCTGCTGAGCGGCAAAGAATAATGGTATAATTATGGCAACTTAACGAAACTTACGGCGCTCTCTTAAAAATTCAGTTAAATGGGTATTGCTTATAATTGAACAGCCGANTTTAACATAAACTAAAATTTGTAGACAATAAAATAAGCGCTGAGTTAACAACAAAAACTAAGTTAGCGCGAAAACAAAAATGTTGTTGCTTGGTTGACCGCTAAATGTCGATTCTGCTGAGCGGCAGAGAAAAGCAGAGAATAATGGTATAATTTTGGCAACTTAACGTAACTTACGGCACTCTCTTAAAAATTCAGTTAAATGGGTATTGCTTATAATTGAACAGCCGAAACTTAACGTAATGTAATGCCACGTCGAAATCTGTTTAATTTTGATTCTCTAAGTTCTACGTTCCGTTGAGTTAAGTTGCCATAATCAGGCTTTTACAGGCTAACCTAATATTCGCGACTTTCGGTTAGGTACGCACGCCGTCGAATTTGTATTTTTGCGTCACCCGAAATTGGCTTGCGTGCGTTTGCATTTGATTTCATTGAGCGAAACGTCAAATAAAAATGTCACGCAGAACAAAAATTGGAAATTGAGTTGGCTTCATACGCACGCCTTCCAATTTCGGCTGGTTCCATACAAGTTGTATGTGCATGAGAAATTGTTGACAGGAAATTGACGGCGTTCGTGAATACTAAGTTAGCCTGTAACATTATGAATAATGTTATTTGTTTTTTGTTATTTTATGGCCTTATAACAATTATGTATATAACGGGTGNAATTCCAATTTCGGCTGGTTCCATACAAGTTGTATGTGCATGAGAATTGTTGACAGTAAATTGACGGCGTTCGTGAATACTAAGTTAGCCTGTAACATTATGAATAATGTTATTTGTTTTTTGTTATTTTATGGCCTTATAACAATTATGTATATACAACAATTTTAACTGAGCTTGAGGTGGTTTTTAATGAAAAACTATTGTGGAAAAGCAACAATAATTTTTGAAAAAATTGGTAGAAGTGATAGCTATTTCGGAAATCACCACATTTGAAAAATGTAAGCCATCTAATCCCATGTATAATTGAAGATCGAAAATCTTAATACGACTGAGCTTGATTGATAATCTCAGTACAACTTCTTAACAAAACATCAACTGCAAGTCGGCACGATTTATCGTCAAACTACAGCAATAGTATTCAGTATTTGGACACAACTCGCAATCACCAGAAATACGCTAACATATGTTGAGTTGCGCCTAAAAATACGCAGCATAAATTTAACAACAGAAGCAATTTGTGTGAAAAAGTCTTTTTATTCTCGTTTGCAGCAAATCACGAAGATGCTAAATGTTAAGTTAAATAAAAAATAAAAATTAAAAACAAAAAAAAGGTACTTTCATTCTTTCACATCCAACTGCACTGTTATAGCGTTTACCCCGTTCCGCGCTCTTCCCTCTTGACCAATTTTTTTCACATTTCCATGCGTGTTTCTAGCTCATTGCATCTGCGTCATGTCACTCCATACGCCACCGACAACAGGCGACTGTGGCATCGGCTCATGCTCTTCCACCATGCGCGGCAGTTGACTATTCTGTTTTGCCGCTGCGGAAATTTGCGGCATAATATTGTTGCCATGCGGCACGAAACCGCGATCGTCGGCCTTGTAGAGAACGACCACCTCCTTGCCATTGGCATCAAAGTACGAGTAGCTGCCAGTGATCTTCAAGTGTTGATTTTTGCTGCCTGGATGGACTACGACAGCGCTTTCCTGTCGGAAAGAGCCATCCTCGCCGCGATAGTAAAAGTTATAGGCGCCATCAGTAGATTGTTTTAGGCCGGCTTCCATTATGCCGACCACTGGTGCTCTCATTTCCACCGGCGCCGCTGGCACATTGTCGACAGGTGGCGCTCTCAGCTCCATGGCAGGCTCAATGGTTGCCATTTGCTGGTCGATGGGCGCGGCATACGCGAAAGCGAGCAGCGAGGTTAAGCAGATCTGAGTGGGAGATACAAATTTTATTTATTTCTGTTTTAAGGACTTTGAAAGGATTTAATTTTTGGGAGCTGCTTACGTATCGAAACATTTTCTTAGGACTTCTTTGCTGCGAAGTAGTTTGCTTGGCTTTAACTTTACAAATATGCTTCAGGTTTGGCCTTGTGCACTTTTTATACCCAAAAAATGTGTGTAAAAAGAAGGCATTCAATTTCTTGGACATGACAGGCCATTCCAGTGTTATTTTTAGAATTCACTTGGCATTCAATTTCTGTTTTAATTGTACTTAAATCCAGTTCTTGGTTAAGTTCTTGAGCTGAGTTTGTTATTTGGCCAAATTATGCACTGAGCAAAATAGTCTTCAAGTATTGGTACAATTGACTTATGTTAAGGACGGCGGCTCCCTTTAGCACCTAGTCACTCATCTGCCTTGGCTAAACATTGTTTGGCACCATAAAAAAATACTTTAGGGCCTCGTTGTTATAAAAATTTATTTTTGAATGATGTTTATGCTTAGATTCACAAAACAAAAAAATCGAACGTAAGCATGCGATATGCATTACGTCTCTGCATCATTGGCCAGCACATCCGCCATTTACAAAAGCACATATTAACATAAACACATCCGCACTTAGCATATAACTACTTTTATTTAGCGTACATACGTGTGTTTCCAATCGCACGTATTGGCAAAATTTCAAACATATCTAAATGAATTTGAAAATTTACTTTTCAGTGTGCAGTAATTGACGCATCTTTACAGCATTGCTGGGAAGTCGCATACAATCAAAATCAACCACTGAATGCGAAACAAGAAGAAAGAGAGCAGAAGAATCACAAGAACCATGCGGCAACTCCAGTAACATGTGTACTACGTGAGCAATTGACTGCTCGATTTGGCTGCGTTTCTGGTTGCCTGCGGAAGCGGAGTGCAAATATTTTGCATAAATGTACGCAAATTTTTACATTTGTAATTCGTTGTAATTGTGACTAAAGAAATTAAATATTTGCCTGCAGACCTTTTTGAAGTAAAAAATGGATTTACATCAAGTTCACAAGAAAGTATCTAAATTTGGTTTTGTTTTTCATTTAAATATGACAGAATGCAATAAAAACACGAAGCAGAGTAATTTATAAGGGCAAGTCGAAAAAATTGGTGATAGTCCAAATAAGGCTCTCATAGGTTCATAGGTACCCACTTTTGTTTTTTGTCGGAAGCAAGCACAAAACAACGCGTGCAGAAAACAGTACGTGCAGATTATTTAGATGCCGCCCATTTTACTACTTTTATGTCCATTTTACCTTAGCTGTTTTAAATCTGCATGACTTACGAATAAACGAAGTTGGTTGGGCGTCAGCTGTTCGTCTCTCAACACATCGCGGCCAAATGTCTCATACATAATTCTTGCAAAGGCTGGGTAGAAGCACCACCATCTCACCCTCCTCAGGGCAGAATAGGCAAATGGAGTTTTCATGTACGCCTATCACAGTCAGGTTATGCTGCGAAGTGACCTGTCAGCAGTCCAACAAGCTATCTGCAGTCCCGTCTGCTCAGTGAGAGAAAAAACTAGGTACTTATACCTTCAAAGATTGAAGGCAAGATGAGTTTTGCCCACCTGCAGCCCTTCGATGCCTCACAGTCATTGCTGAGCGAAGTATTCACCCAGTTTCCGATGGTGCCTTCGATGGTCGAAGTAGGTAGTGCTATAACCCAGCAAAAAATCGGTAATCGCTTTTAGTTGTAACGTATTCTAGAAGGCATAACGTTATAATGCCTTCGAATGTTTTCACTTCTCTTAGGCATTGCCGGTAACGCAAAATAGAATGTCCTACAATATTTTATTTGTTTCGCTTCTTTGCTTCATTTCAGGGAATGCAAATTAGAATGTCCTACATACATACATAATTAAAGTGTACTTAATCAAAAGTTTTTTATTGCATGTTCATGAATTCATTTTATTTTTTTGATTCCCATAGTAGTGGTTTTGATCCATAATTGGGCTAGTATTTTTCTGTGCATTTTGAACTAGTATGAGACTGGTATATTTCTGACCGAAACAATTGCCATCTCGTAGGGCATCGCCATGTTAAAAATAGCAGTTGATTGCATGGAAAAAATATAGTTGGCTGACTAGTTGGGCATTCGGCTCATACTAGTTATGAGGTAGTTTACAACTAGTACATTTGACTACAGGGAATCTAAAATCCATCCATCTCAAACAGTCTTTTTTGCTAGCTGCATCAACTTTACTCCACCCTAGGATCTAAAAAATTTATTTCATTTCATTTTTTTTTTGCCATCCCTAGCCACAGCTATTTGTGAGCGCACACCAACAACATGGGCTTGCGAGCGAATGGCCATTTTGTCGGCTGTCTGGAAAATGAAGAAATCGAGAGCATCGAGCCCTTTTTTCCACTGCCCGGGTGTGGCTAGGCTAACGCGGTGGTATCTCCACTACTACTTCACGCTTCATTAGATAAACTATGTGGTTCTACTTCAATGTAAGCGGTGGGGATCAACATTGAGCCAATTAAGCGGTCTTACATGTCTATGCGTGCCTCCGTCCGCCAAAGACTAAACCGATTTTTTGCCTCCCTTCAAGCTGCCTAAGTCAACGACGTTCTTAAACAAAGAGTGTAGCAATATCCGCTGGCAGCGAATATCAGTTATCCGACTCTTTAGCCTCGTCGATCTCTTATATAATCTAAGTAAATATGTACTATATATGAATTCGATTCCCGACTAATTCTGCAACCAAAGTTGAGTTCAGTAAAGCATGCCGAATCTTTCCGCACATTGAATAAAGTCAATATTTTACCTATAATTTCGAATGATTTGGCAAGTATTTGGACGTTTTATTGCATTTGCGTAAGTAAGTATACATACATACATATTAGGCTGGGTCGATTTTGTATGGGGGAAAATAAAAGGCATTTGACGGTAATGTAATAGTAATATTATGATGTCTTAGGTCTAAGCCAATTGTTGTTGGCCACGAAAGATTAATTTAAAACTTATATTTAGCCCGCGTAATTGAATCAAAGTGTATGAATTTCGAAAATGAAACTTTGGCTCGTAATATCTATGAAACGCGTTTATATTGTTATAAACAGGACGATTTACGATCAAATTAAAGGTTTTTAAATTTACTATCTAAAATTCATATATAATTTTTCAATAAGACTACAAGCTTTTAAGGTATTGAGTCTGTTCAGAAGGCGCAGCAGTTGAGCACAACCGTTGCTTCTGAACGACTTGATACATTAGCTGTCAAATTCAACTCTCAGATGTACACACCAACATGTTGTCTCAAATGATCAAAAAATATTACGATCGCAACTGTTCAGTTGATCAGAAGTACACAACAACGCGTTCAGAAGGTGCAATCGCAACAGTTACCGAGCTGTTACCCAGCTGAACGTGCCCATTGAGATAAATCTTACAAAAACGATAATTTTCCCTTACGAATTTTTAATTCTTCATTACCTCTGCAACCAAGTTAAGGAAGGAAATTTTTTTTACAAAAGACTAGAGATTCACGTAAGTTTTTCGATATAACTTTAGTAAATATTACTCCATCGGTACGTAATGATTTATGATAATAATATGATGAAAATCATTCAAATTATAAAAAATAAAAAGAATAAAATAAATGTTTAACAAATTTTTTTGTCAACTTCCTATATTTGCAAATTTTTGTATCGTATGGATAAATATAAGTAAACTGATTAGTGTTGCTAGAAGTTGTGCTTGTTCAGGGTTTCCACACTCATTTGCATACACAAAATTTTTCCACGATGATGGAAAATAATGGATTTTCTATTAGAGCTACCGAAATTGTTCCGAGATTTGTGAAAATTCACGGACTATAGGTAATATTTAAACAAGATAAGAATATTTGGAACCCGCGACTTAAATGCAGCCCTGCAATATTACTGCTGTTCTTTACATCTTTTGACTATAATACAATGGTAATAATAAAATGGCGCTTACACATATGTAGGTTAGTGTTTGGCCGAGCTTCTCCTCTCTTGTGCCTATAGACCAGTGCAATTATCAAGAGAACAATACGCGGGCTCTTACAATTAAAATAAAACTAACAAATATTTTGCAGGCTTGTTTTTGACTTCATAATACAATATATATTCACTACTACCAAGGGATTTGAGACAAATTAGATTTTCGATCCGCCCTAATACATATATACACATAAGCATATGTGAAATATGTGCTATAATTTATAATTTCAAAACTATTTACATATTTAGATATAAGAAAGCAGAAATGCTCATGTTTTAGCATACTCGTACATTTGCTGAAATAGCCGAGCCACCGTCGAATCAAATGTGCGGGCAGCCCGCAGTAAGAAGCAATCAGGCGAGGTTGGTAGGCAGGCAGGCAGTCAACTAAATGCCCGATCGATTCAAAATTACTCGCTGCTTCCACCGCTGCTTCTGATGCTATTTTTGGCATACCTTGCCGTAGGCTGCGTGCTGGGCACAACGCAAAATAATCAGACTTCCAGCAGCGCATCAGCCAGTAAAGGAGTGCAGAGGGCGTGCAATAAGCGTCAAGTGCATGTGGTTGCAATGCATGTAGGTATGTATATACATATGTATGTATGTACATATCGCAAACCGTCTTCAAAAGAGTCACAACTCAAAATTTAACACTTTTGAAATTATGCGCTAAAAATTTACACAGAGATTTTGTTTTAGCTTTCAGCAAAAGCTGGAACAAATTTTTGTTATAATTTAAACAAAAAAAACCTAAGGTAAAGTCGCCCTTGCCCATATGACTACCATGTGCTAAGAAATAGTTTTTCGAATTTTCTGACAAATGTATTATTTTGAGTTGTGACTCTTTTGAAGATGGTGTGCGATATGTACATATACATAGATGTACAGTGAGTGTCAGTCAAAACCGTGCAGCAATTTTTTCCATATTTTAAAAATATTGTGTTTAATTCAAATTTTATTAATTTTAAATAAAAATATATTTCATATTCCAATACAAAGACATAAAACTCAAAGTTTCTAACTTTGTAACAATTAAAAAAAATCGTCCAATTTTCATCAAAATTTCACACTTTCTCCCAGCATTTTTATAATTTTGTGTGGTATA